ACGGAGCCCTTGGTGTCCCAAGGACAGAAGTGGGAAGTAAAGGTGTTTGCAAATGGAATGTTTTGAAGCACTTGCTCATGGTTAGGCTGTTCTCCCGAGCTAACTCGCTGCGATTCTGCTTTTTTCTTTTTCTGTTTAGTTGAAGTTTGTCCTCTTCTGGTGTTTATAAAATCTCCCGTATCACTGGCTGCATTTGAGAAAATGTGATAGCTTCCAAAAGTGGTGCTGTAATCTTGGAAGGCGTGTGGCCGTGTCTGTGAGCTCACCTCCTGCTCCACCTGGAGAAGAGGGTGTTGCAGTCGAGACCAGTGGGGCCGGGATTTTCCTAGGAATACCTAAAAGCTCACGTTGTTTTCCCTGCCTGCCACACCCGGAGAGCTGGAAACCAACACAAAGTGTAAGATCAGAGAGAGAGAGAGAAGTTCCTTTTGTTTTTTGATGCCAGATGTGTACAAATACTTGCTTTTAGTCCAACATATGTATTTCGGATTGGACGAGGACTTCCATTTAATGTAACACAAAAAATTTGTATAATCTTACTGTGTGTCATTTGCCATGAAGGTGGAATTTCAATTAAATTTTTTTGGAAGAAATAACCAAGCTGTGTGTCTTCAGTAGGAGCCCATAACAGTGGCGTTTGATGTCCTCTCATTCCTTGCACCAGAAAGCAGAAGCGTTTGGGCACATCCTGGGCAGCGTTTTGGCTCGGGTCAGCAGAGAGCCGTGAAGGGGTGATCCCCCCCGGCAGGGAGCTCATTCGCTTTGTGCGCAGGGGTTCAGCCTCTGGATGCCTCTGGAAGGAAGCGCTCCAGATGCGCCCCCAACGCTCCCGCTGCCACGCGGGCCTCCCCCAAACCCTGTTGGAATGCTCGCTCCAAGGAACCAGACCGGTGTTACCTGGCGCGGGGCCTCGGCACCCGCTGAGGTACCCTGGCCCGGTCCTGATGCGCCAGTTCCTTGCTGAGGAGCCGAGCCACGGAGGGCCAATCCCTTCGGTTTTCAGGGGGAATACCGGCGCTGCAGCCCTCTGGGGTCGCGGTGCTCCGGGGCCGCGTCGGGCGCGCGCCAGGGCGGGGTTCGCTAGCGCAGTCCTGCGAGCAGCCGCCTTTGTCTGGGTGTTTGCGCGTGGGTTTGAAAGGGGCGTCCCCTGTAGCCAAAGCTGCTCACTCCGCTCACGCAGCCGCGGCGGCGTACGCAACCGTCCGGCAGTTCGTGTGACGCCGGGCGCGGTAATGCCACGCTGCCCTCGCCTCCGTGACTCCCCACCGGGGGTAACAAACTCCAGTATGGGTTAAACTGGTCCCCTGGTGGAGGCCACAATGGCACAGCGAGGCTCTCCCCCAGGAATCTGCCCACCTCCGGCCTGGAGAGCGGCGCCTGCCTTTGCGGTTTGCTGCGTAAGGGGCCAAGCCCAGCCCCAGCCTTCGTTTCGAAGGCGCAGCCTGTTCCCGTGTAGGTGAGCGTGCCCGGGCTGGGCTCCGTGACACCTCACCCTGCCCCTTCGGCTCCGATTGCCACCATCCCCCTACGCATCCGGGACAGTGCCGGGTGATGCTCTGGGACGTGGAAGGGGATGTAAAGGATGCGGATGCGTGCGGTGCCCTTTCCTCGTGCCGCGGTCCAGCCGCGCGCTTGGAGGAGGCGTGGAACTGGGCGCCAGCTGTGAAACGGGGGCCCGCGTGCTTTCTGTAAAGAGGGGCTCAAGCAGCCGGTGAATAAAAGATTTGCACGAGTTCCGAATCCCACCTGTGATTGTTAATTTATTCAGTTATCTATTAGCAGTCTCTAGGCAGCTTATTTCTTATGTTAAAAATTAAGTGCTTGATTGATTACTTTCCAGAACAGTGGTGAGAGTCGGTGGACGCTTAAGCTGATCCATTAGCGAGCGTTCATTGCCAGAGTGCTGGGGGGGGTGAGGGGATGGAGGACGGGAAGAACGAAGCAGAGCGGCGCTGTTCCTTCCTTTCCTCTGGCGTTCCAGCCCGTAGCTTTGCCGTTGTGCGTCTGAACGGAGCCTTGGCTGGGTAAGCACGGCAGAGCTTGAGCAACGTCACATTTATTGAGTCCAAAGGAATCTCTTTAGCCTCGTGCACGCGTTGGCTCGCTCTCCCCTTAGAGAGTCACAGCAGGGTAAAATTTGCCAAGTAGGGTGAAAAACTGCGTGGCATCAGCCGCAACCCCCTGCCCGCTGGCTTTTACCCTCTCATTTCCCACATGTGGCAGCAAAGAGAAGCTCCTCCATGTTCCTCCTTCCGGCAGTCCCGACGCTGCTGCCGCGGTGGAGGAGTCGATGCAGGCGACTTCTCGCCTTGCGGTAAATGGGCACGTTGCTGGTTTCTGCTGAGGTTTGTACGGGGGGAACCGTGGCCTCGGGGGGAAGCCGCTCGCCCCTC